ATTACAAGGAGGTCTACTATATATATTGAAAGTCATACAAGTGACTCTCAAATTTACGAATTTTATATAGTGTTAAAAATTATTTCTTTAACTACATATAGGTATTGTGGTATTTGATCTTACCAACTAAAGATATAACAGCCATCTCACTACCAGGAATATGTGTTTTTCCAGGTTTAAGACTAAATTTGATTTTTTGTAGCTGCTTCGATGCATCTGTAATATCTAATTACAAGGAGGTCTACTATATATATTGAAAGTCATACAAGTGACTCTCAAATTTACGAATTTTATATAGTGTTAAAAATTATTTCTTTAACTACATATAGGTATTGTGGTATTTGATCTTACCAACTAAAGATATAACAGCCATCTCACTACCAGGAATATGTGTTTTTCCAGGTTTAAGACTAAATTTGATTTTTTGTAGCTGCTTCGATGCATCTGTAATATCTAATTTATATAATTAATTAATTTATTAGTTAATAAAAATTTTTATTTATTAAAAATAATTCAGCATTAAATATTTAAAAAAATACATCTTTACCAAAGCATAAACTGAGGTTACTTTTTACAATAAATTATACAAAAGTAATAATTATATCTTCGATGAAATCGTTATAAAAAGACTAAAATGCTTATAATTTATGACAATGTTCCTACGTGTATATTACATATACATATTTTAAAATTAATATTAAATAAAATATACAAATATAACTAATTGTTGAGATTAAAAATATTGTTTGACTTAATAATAGTTCATTGGAATTAAATATTCTCAGAGTAAAACATAAACATATCTAATATACACCTGATAAAACATCGGAAACGATATTTCTAGTCCTTCTTTTTTGTTGGTTTGTTGGATCTAAAGTGATAAAATATTCCATTTCCTCAGTCGCATCTTCATCCTGAAAATGTTCAATATAAAATATGTAAATTATGCATTCGTAGATTATGTGAAGTTGTTAAACATTTTTATTTATGGCAATGTGTTTTTAGTAATTTTTTTCATATTTTCATAAATATGCAAGTCGTATAAATATATCTAAAAGTTACACTATTAGTAAGTTCTAAAACACGTTATTCTGATATTACTAATTGCTTTTAGTGTTAGCTTTCAATGCACTCTTCTCCCTTTCACATCTTATTTTCTCAATGAAATTGTTATTGGTTAACAGCCGAACCATGTATGTTTTGTCTTTCTTTAATTTTCGTTCTATGACAAATCTATGGTAAGACTTTTGTAAGTACTTTCAACTTTTCTATCCATTAATACGCATATCATTATCACAATGTAATTTCCCTCCATCGCTATCAGAAAAATGAAGGAAAATTACTAAAATTTTTGTCCACCTCACAAAAAATAAACCATAGCTCGCTATTCTTGTTTAGATCACTGAGAAACGAAAGCACATAGTTTGTGGTACATACAATCTCAGCTCACATATAAATGGAACACAGCTCACAATTTCTCTTTGCTGCTCTCAGAAAAACGAGCATGGCGTAATATCCCACAATTTGAACTCTCACTACAATGATTAAAAGTCGTGCCATTTAGTTATTCAGTAGCAGCTAGTAGTTACTCCAATGTTGTTTAATCAGAAGTTACTTTCAGTAGTTACACCAGTTACTCCATGTTGTTTCATCAGAATTGTAAGAGGATTGCAAACTCAAATTCAATATTTTCACATATAGAATTTGATACACAATGTGATTTTTATGCTTAATATGAAATCTGAAAAAAATATTTTTTGTTTTATATAATATTTTAGAAATTTAAAGACAAAGTATCTTACCACCACATGTAATTTTCTGGCTACAATATCCTTTCCATAAGGACTTAGAGCCACAACACGAATGAGATAATCCTGAGCCACTAATGGAACAATTGAAAAATGCACCGTTCCTGTAGAATTAGGTGCGACTGTGATTCTCTTTTGTTCGCCTTTCTCTCCTTCTTTTACTCCACTACGTAGATTCTTCACTCCATACATATAAACAGTTACCTAAAATATTACAATACGCATTACTTTTTACGTAACAATCTGTTCTTAAACGTACATAAAACATTTGAAAGTAATAGAATAAGGACATATATATATATTTTTGAAAAAGTTAGAATTACTGTACTTAATGAAAATAATATTTCAAACTAAAATTTTGAAAACTATTATTTGAGAAATGTTGCTTTCATTTTCATCCATTTATAAACAGCCATTGTTACCTCACTGAACACCGATAGAGGGTAGTGAATTCAGCTCTAACCAAAGGGCCATCATACGGATTTTTCCAAATAATCTACACATGTCTAAAATCTTAATAGGGACCAGTTTTCCATAGAAAGTCTTTTCAAAACAAATCACCTTACCACGTGGGTTCAGGCATTTGAACTGACCAATGGGCTGGACACGTAGAGTTTTTTTTTTTTGTTTTTTTCACATGTCTAACATTTAAACAAGAGGTAATTTTTTGTGAAATGTTTTTTTGGAAAGAAAGTTTTTTATTCACCTCAAAAAGTCATCTAAGCGTTGTTTTGCCATAGTCCAACAATTCGACTCTTTCTATAATTTGTCATATTCAGATTAAAGCAAACTTTCCTCAATTCTAAACCATCTTATTGAACCCGATATCAGTAACACCACAATGAAAAAATTAACGAAATTTACTTAGTCTCTAGCAGTATAGTAATTTGTATTAAACAAGTAATGTTGCTAATTAAAATTACTCAATGAACATAACATTATTTCGTATAATATTTGCCATTAATTGACATTTTATGAGATAATACAATGTTTACGTTTGAAATAAAAAGTACAGAACATAAAATTATTCGTCAACTGTACTTACCGGTATTTTCTGCGGAAAATAATTGAATACAGTTGCTTGAAAATCCAACTGTTCGTTGAGTACGAGAGAATATGGGATATTAAATCGAAGAAAGATTCTTTTAAATGATTTGATTTCTATGACATCGGTAACACACATTCCCCATTGAGGTGATACACTAACAGCTTGTATCATCCACGTTGTAATGCTGTCTGGTAATTTCGTATTGACCACTGAAATTCCATTATGCCTGTAAAAAAACTCTTTATTGTCAGCCATACTCTTTAATATAAAACGGGGGCAGTGCCTTCTAAAATTACTATAATAGAAGTAAGAAAGTAAAGTAAAAATGTAGACTTTGCTCATCCAGCTGTGTTAAAGCCGCACTAATAAAGTATGAAAAGTAAAAGATAAAAAAATAAAAATCAACGGCAATTTTTCTATGGTCTGAGTGCCAATGAAAAACGCCCTTGTTTATTTGCTTTAATTCGATCTCGAATCCCTAAGATTGTAAGCTAAATCCTTATATGTCACGCCGCCTAATTATAAAAGTTACGCCGCCTAATTATAAAAGTTACTGTAACTTATAAAACATTTACTGAAAAACTGGGTGTTTATAAAATAATTATCTTTAAAATAATTTGGAGTTGTCGGTAACTTGAAGGAATAACTTAAATGAAACCAAAATTAGTACATTTCTATCTAAGAAGGGAAAGAAGCATGGCAAAACAAACATGTTTATATAACAATTCATTTGCCTGCACAAAAACGTCACCATGACTTAGTAAGTCACATCTTTATTATCTATTGTAAAAAGTTGTATGAAAAAATAGAAAACAAAGTAAAGCGTTATAAGATTCAACTTGTTACACAAATAAAACATTGTTTACATAAAAAACTGGCTAATAAGGAAACTCAAAAGAAAAAACACCAAAATTTAGAAGCAGTTTAAAAAAGCAAACGTGGTTTATTTGATTCCATGTACCTGTAGATGTAGCAACCTACTGTATACTATAACACTGGAGAAAGGAAAAAACTACAAAAAGAATTGACAAACATAGAAAGTGCTATTGAACTTAAATATATAATTACAGCAATAGCTGAACACTATGACTATATAACTGTAATATCGATATGAATATAATAATATATTATACGACGAAAAAAATAATAACAGTAAATAAAAAAGAACATATTAATATTATACATATAGAAAATAAAAGTTACGAATAGAAAATAAAATTGATTGAAATGACTGGTTTTGAACTCATTGCCATCTGAAACAGACACATTAAAAAAGGGGAAGAAAATATGGAAAAAAAACGAACCATGATTGCATAGTAGGAATACGTAATATCCAAAATTACTGTCAAATATCCGCCGAACGACATCACAGACAGAGAGAAAATTGAACAAATACAAAGGTATACTTCCCCAAAATGAGTTGGACGTGCTGGCTTATCGGTTTGCCGGATACGCCAGCATGTCCAACTCGGCTTGGGGGAGAATGTATGCACAGGAAATTGATTCGTTTTTATACGTAACTAGGTAGCCAGTTAATCAAAACCGAAAATAATAATTTGATTTTAAAACATTTCGTTTAAATTTCATATTAAATTAAATTTTAAAACTCTCACCTTTATACTATAACAGAAATCGAAACTGAAACTTAACCTAAAGTTAAAAAATAAATCAGAATTACTTAATTAATTTAAATTAGAATTAAAATTAAAAGAATTGAAAGATAATATTTCAGAAACTGTATAAAGTTACAGTAGATCCTCGATTATCCGACTGAATTAGGGACTGGGGTTGGTCGGATAATTGAAAAAATCGGATAACTGAAAAGTATGAAAAAATCTATTATTAGTGTAGTATATTATTATATCTCATGTAATTAGTATATTAGTATAATAGTATATCGCTATTAACCTACTTCGCGTTGAATTTTCATCGATGTTAAGCCTAACAAAAATTTTTATAAATAATAATCGTCGCTATTGTATCGTTAAAAATTAGAAAATTAAGCCTCGTTTAAATACTAGCTCCCTTTTATGGTCGATCCAGTGTTTCCATCTAAAACACGTAAAAATAATATTAAAGTAGCCAAGACATAGCCAAATATTGTAGCGCCACGTCACTAGCGGACATTTGAAATTTGCCGACTAAGACGGTCGGTTAACCGAGGTGTCGGTTAATCGGGAATTAGATAATCGAGGCTTTACTGTATTCTGTCTTGATTGATTTGGTTATAGTTGTGAGCATTCGGATGCAGGTATGAATTTTTGCACTTTGTCACATCGAAGGTGACATTAATCTTCCGAAGATGGACTCCCCTCACACCAGGGGTTCGTTCAAGTCTTACGTAGATATAAGGTATAGAGAGTAACCAAAAGGTCACCGACGAGGCTAAAACAAAATCTTATACTCTTCTCTCTGTCCGAGTAAACCGATGAGAAAGTCGATCTAAATGACTAAATAAGGCGATGATTTTCCTAAGGGAGTGAAACGTAGTCTGACATGAATCACTTTCCGTCAATAAATCAGGGAGTTTGACAAATTTATGATGGGAAGATGTCAATTATTGGAAGGAAAGGATTACGGCAACTTAAACACAGCTATAAGCAAGTCGAGCTGGCAATTGCATCAGATTTTCTTCCCCCATGAGTTCCCCTCTGAGATAAGTATAAAAAGGGGTCGAATTTGCACCTCCGGGCAGACAGCCGAAAAGGACCCTGCCGAAGCAACCGCTTCAGCGAACACTCAGAAGATGACCTCTACAGTCGGAGATCAACGGAGCGTACACCCTCTTCGGACATAGCCGAGCGGACATCCAGGAACATCAGTTCCATACCGCCATACCATCCATCGCTCCATATCGCCATCCAAGGGAACTTCGATTAGAAACCGCCGATCCCAGTGCGTCCTACCAACGCCCTATAAGAAGAGATCGAATCCTACGAGATAAACCCTTGCCCGAATGTTGTTTCTCTCTCCAACACGTCCCTCTTAGAGAGGTCTCTCTCGATCTTTAGTTTAAGTTAGAACATAGATATGGAATATATTCCTTTTTTTATTATTTACGCTTGTTTTATTTATGCTTTTTCCTTTCATATGTATAATCTCTTAGTTGTTTATTAAATATGTTATTGTTGTTTCACCTTGTAGTTATTCGGAGTACCTCGTCACGACCTCACGACCTCTTCCCACTCGATTTGCCCTCCTAAGCCATCCGACTAACAGAGAGCGTGTTTTACCAACCCGTGCAGATGAAGTGGTCATTAGGAATCATCCCTGTGGCCCCCTGCTGCCTCACATAGTTCATGTAGGCAGAGTTGAGTCTCTAACCCTAGGTTGGGTTAGCATTTATTTATAAAGTGTTGGTTTCGGTTTCGGTTGGCGGTGATGAAACGTTCTGCTTTTAGCATATAAAATACTAGCTGCAAGGACACGCTTCGCTGGGTTTTTATTTGTTCGTACATTTGTATGTAATATAGTTTTTGTTTTTTATATATAAAATACTGTTTTTAGCGTAGAGGTAACCATTAAAAAAG